CTGAGAAGCTGCTGCCTGTTGCTACCAGGTGACAGGCCCATTTCATACCAAATAAGGGCAGCATATCTGTAATAAGGGAGAGGGTGAATCAGAGAGTTTAGATGATGTTTATGAAGTTTCTGAGACCAACTCCCCAGTGTCCTGTGACAATACACACTCCTAGTCTACAGAAGTTAGTTTGAAGTTGATCACCTCCTGCAACCAAAAAGTATTAAAGGTGTAAGACAAAGGAATCTCAGGTTTGCTTTTTTTTTTTTTAAGATGCCCATGAATATCCGACACATGACAAGGTTTAGACTCCTCAGACCAAATCCTCAGGTTTTAAGGAGATAGCAGAGGTCCACATAAGGGATTTAGTGATCTTAATGAGGTAGAATTTAGTGAGTATTTATTACATACAGGACCCAATGTGAACAGTCGCACATTGTATGTCATTTGATCTTCTGGTGAGGTGGAAATCCAGAGGAATTCAGGCGTCAGGCTCTCTTTCCTAATGACCCATTTCCACACACACTAATTCACTCTGGGAGACCAGAGACTGAAGCACCCACCATTGGGCCCTGTGTCTCAATATCACATTGAGGGCCAGGCTTCCAGCATGCAAACCTTGTAGGGGACACGCTCAAAACACAGCACTATCATTATTACCTATAAATGTAATCACTATTATTACTAGCAGCAGACTATTGCCACTGAGTGTTCTGTGCTAAGCATTAAGTCTTTAAACTATTACCTCATGTAATTGTTTGAAGCAGCAGGGCAGGTTTCCACTGTCTCCCACTGTAATCAGCTGAGGAAGAGAGATGTCACAGCATTTCCCAGACAGCTCCTAAGTAGCAAAAAGATGCAAAGATAGGCAACACGGTTTGAAAGCCTCTGTTCATAACCACTCTGTTCTACTGCTTTAATAAACTTAGCAGATGAACCAAACTACTGCACAGGAGATACAGACCTGCGGCCTGGGTCTGTCTGACTGCAGTCTGTGCTCTCCGTCCACCACCCAGCCTTCCCTGTGCACATAAACAGGCCCAAATGGGGCTACACAATACTTAAACTACATGGCTCTTTGTGGCAACCCTCATGGCTCGAAACCAAATATCTTGACTTTTAGACGGGAACAGTCAGGTATGAGCAAAAACAAGACTTGCAGGCCCAAATATTGAAACCGAGGTATACAGGCTTTCAGGCTGTGTCATTCTTGGTACTGCAGGAAGCAGAAGCCAAGATAGAATCAAAACAAAGAGATTTGCAGGGGGAAAAGCTCTAAAAGGGAAGAGAGAACAGGTGAAGGTGGGGGGAAGTTTTGACATCTCTGTAACAACAGCAGGAAAGAAGGAAGGAAGCTGAGGTAGGAAGAGTGTCTGGTTATAGCACGGTTCTGAGGAAATCTGAGGAGTCCACGGCAATGCTGCCTTGTGTAGAGAAGCTGTCACTTAAAGAGAGTAGTTCAAAAAGGGGAAGGCCTCACTGAACCCAGAGGAGTGCTTGTTGGAGGCTGTCATCCAACCACACTCTCTAGCTGGTTCCCTTAAAGCGAGGTTCAGCAGGTGCCTTTGCATGCTTTGCACGGCCACGGGGCCTGGGTACCACGGATTAGACTTGTCCGGAGGAAAACACCAGGGAGCCACCGATCGGAGAAACGCACTCAGAGTCCACAGTCTGCCAGTGCTCTTCGCACAGAGGAGTAATTAACTGCTGAGTGCGCCTTCCTCCACAACATGTGCTGGTTTGCCCTCGCTAAAAGTGTCAGCTACATTTAGTGAAAAACATGTTTTCCTGAAAAGGAGTGGGTGGGGTATTTTCTTATTTATTATTCTACCATGGACATATTTAAAATGCCACCAAAAAGTTACTATAGAAACTGCTCCCCAACTTAAAAAGTAAAAATGGAACATTTTGTTACATGCAAATGGTGAGTCTCAGGAGACCACTTGTTAACAAACTGGCTGGTCTGGTTTTTCTGAGGTCCTGAAGGAGCTCTTTTGAACAGAGCTGGACAGGGTAGTTTTTGTTTGTTTTTTGGGTGTTACACCATAGACGATGAATAAATCTGGAGTAAGTCTGGGTCCACCCAAACTTGGAAAGCTCAAAGTGGACAATGACACTGTAGTCTCAGGACAGTGCTAGGCAGGCTGAGTGAGCCCTGATGTAAACAAGAAGGCCCAGGGCAGGGCAGGCCAGTATTTTTGTGCCAGGCCCATTCTGCAGGTGTACTCTGGACTGGCTGGTTTGAAAGTTAACTCACTGAGCTTCTACTTATGCAAAGTCTTACCTCCTCTGGCCACGTTCCAACCTTTGAATCCTGGGTTGGAGAGTTCTTGTAACAAGAAACACAAACTTCTCAATCGAAAGCTCTTTCCTCTACTTTAGCAGGCTTTCCCCACCCCGCCTCCAGATCAGTGTGAACCCAAGCACTCCTATCTTGACAAGGCTACTTTTATCTCACTTTCTGTTCCTCAGACCTTTTCTGGCAATTCCTTCAATTTGTTTTTTTTTCTAGGGCCTTAATCTCAAAGTCTTCCTGAAACCCCTTTCAAAGCCTCTTCTGGTACTTAGAAGATGCTCAATGAGTATTTGAAGAACAAAAATAACTATAAAACTGAAAGTTGAGCCAAGCAAAATTGAAGGTTACTTGAAGATCTCACATAAGCATTGTCAGAAATAAGTGAAAAACATGGAGATTAACTGCCATTGCAACAAAAACTGCAAGTAATATTTTTTTTTCTTCCTTTCTCTCTCTTCCTTCCTTCCTTCGTTCCCCTTTTCCTCTTTTTTTCTTCCTTCCTTCATTTATTTTTTTTTTTTTTCTGGTAAAGAGTTTTATTAGTCGTGTGAGAGTCTAATGGACTGCTCCAGCCCAGGACCACTTCCACACTGTGAGGGCAACGGCCCTGAAAGTGTTTCTGTGAGGGTAATTTCAAAGTTCCCGGCAAGAAGGCATCTGGTATAACAGCTATTGTGCCACTTGGGATTCCCAAATCCCATACTGGAGTGCCCAGTTCCAGTTTGGTTTTGTTGCTTCTGCACACCGTGGGAGACAGCAGGTAATGGCTCGGTACTCGGGTTCCTGCTGCCACATGGGAGACTAAAGGTGAGTTCATCGCCTCTGCCTCTGGGCACCACCCCTGGCAGCTGCAAACATTCCAGAATAAACCAGCAGGTGAGCCATATCGCTCTTGTTTTTCTTCCCTGCCTTTCAGATAAAAATGAAATACAATTAAAAAGTTCATAGGCTATCTGGCTATACCCATAATGTAAAGCAAGTTCAGTGATTCTCCATGTAGCACCTTCCATCTTTGTATCCTAATTAGTAAGCCTATATCTTCATATACTAAAATGAATTTTGCTTTTAGATGTATTTTATTTTCACTAGAAAATCAGATGTACAGAAAAGAGGAGAGACAGAGAGAAAGATCTTCCATCCGTTGATTCACTCCCCAAGCGGCTGCAATGCAGCTGGAACTTCTCCGATTCAAAGAAAGGAGCCAGGAACCACTTCCAGGTCTCCCACACGGGTGCAGGGTCCCAAGGCTTTGAGCCGTCCTCGACTGCTTTCCCAGGCCACAAGCAGGGAGATGGATGGGAAGTGGGGCTGCTGGGATTAGAACCGGTATCCCAATGTTCTAAGCTTTTTATCATGTGTGGAACACAGAGGAAAGATTTTATTTAAAAGGTCCTTGGTGGCAACAATCTTACTGCTGAATAACTTGGTTCAAGTATCCATTTTAAAGTGGATAGTAGAAAGGAAAATAAAAATTTCTTTCTTTTATCTTTTTATGGATTTAGTTATTTTTATTGAAAAGGGAGATTTACAGAGAGAAAGAGATAGAGATCTTCCATCTGCTAATTCACTCCTCAATTGGCTGCAATGACCGGAGCTGCGCCAATCCAAAGCCAGGAGCCAGGAGTCTCTTCCGGGTCTCCCACGTGGCCGCAGGGTACCAAGGCTCTGGGCCGTCCCCCACTGCTTTCCCAGGTCACAAGCAGGAAGCTGGAAGGGAAGTGAAGCAGCCAGGACATGAACTGGCATCCATATGGGATCCCAGCCGGTATAAACCTGCAGGTTCTTGGATATGTCATATACAACACACATTCATACGTGTCTACGTGGTACTGTTTCTGTTCCACAGAAGTGTGAACTGAATGTCTAAGGTTTATAACAAAGTATACAATCAGAATACCACATAGTTTTTTTTAAACATAAAAAAGACCATATTATAGAATTAGAGCGGAAAAACTTAAAATACAAATTCCTCAATTTAAATGAGCAGAAACTAAGGTGCAGCAAGGTTTGGACTTTTTTTTTTTTTCCAAATGTGTATTTATTGAAAAGGCAGATTTACAGAGAGAGGAAGAGACGCTGGCTCAAGTCCCAAACGTGACCTGGGCCTGACAGAAGCCAGGAGCCAGGAGCTTCTCCCGGCTCCCAGACTTGCTTGGTGCCGAGGCCCAAGGACTGGCGCCTAACCCGGCTGCTTTCTCCGGGGTTCGCAGGCGGCTGGGGAAGTGGGGGGCCGGGCCGCACAGGGGTCCCCTGCGCCACAGGCGGGACTTCACAGGCCACCACAGAGGACTCGGTTTGGTCATTTGTAAATGAAAAAAGAGAGATGTATCTGTCCAAGAGGACCGTAAAGCCCCGTCACAACTCCTACTCAACACCAACAGAACAACTCCTTATGTTTGACAAGAACGTTATGAATTGGGCTAGGACCTTCACCAGCAGTTCTGACACTTGGGCGTGACTAAAATCACCTGCAGGAGGTGTTCAAGCCCAGGATGCCGGGCCTCACCTCCTGTTTCCAGCTCGGCAGGTCTGGACCAGAGAAACCACGGAATATGGGCAAAACTCTCCTCACCTCAGCACCTCAGCGCCTCGGCTGCCTGCGCGCGCAGGGAAACTACAAATCCCGGCGTGCCGCGCGCGCAGCGGGCGGAGAGCAGGGCACTTCCGCCCCACGCAGCGCCCCTGCCGCCGCGTCTCGACGTGTCACCGGCGGCGCCGTGGCCGTGGCCAGGGAAGGAGCTGACTGAGGGAGTTGGAGGCGGCGGGCGGCGGCGACCCCGGTGTGGACCTGCCCCGGCACAGGAGCGTCCCGGGGTCCGTGGGGAGCAGGAGAAGGAGGCGGTGGCCCGACCCGCGCGGGCAAGATGTTGAACATGTGGAAGGTGCGGGAGCTGGTGGACAAAGCGTGAGTATCGGGGACAGTTGTGGGCCAGGCCCACGCGGGGCAGCGGCGGAGGGGCCGGGGCAGGGGGTCCCCGCGCGTGGGGTCGTCCGGGGCACGCCCCCCGCCTCGGCCGGCCCGGTGATGGCGGCGGCCGGCGGCTGCAGTCCCGGGCCTCGTTCCCACCGGCGAGGCTGGGAAGGGACCCTCCCCGTCCCCGTTCCAAACACCCTGTGCAGGCCTTCCTGCCTTCGCCCCTGCCCCAATCCCGGAGTGTGGAGCCTGCGACCGGAGGAGGGCCGGGCTGTCCGCGGCTGGGTCAGCGCCTTGGCCCGAGTGCTGTCCAGGCTCCCCGCTCTGGGCTTTGCCTCCAGGGCGAGCAGGGAAGGCTTGGGGGGTGGGGGACGCCTTGCACTGGCCCTCTCTGTCCTCAGGGTGTATAGCACAGGGAGATCTTAGGCTTGGTCGGAATGTTCCTTATTGTTACTTTATTTGTTGTTTTTTATTTGAACTCGCTTGGCTTTTATTTTAATTCCTTCAGTGTTGGAGTGGGTGGCAGGTGTAACAAGTGGCCGATGTGGTCAGGCTGAAGTTACTCAAGAGGAGAGACTCATCCTCTGTTTTTCCAGTACCAGTGAAAGTAGATGATCTACAACTTGGTTTGATTATCCTCCATTTCCTTGGTGGACCACTTGTTCCATTTGGTTTAATGAAGACGTCGTTGGGAATTTCCCCTAAAGAAAACACGCCAGCTTTGTATCCTGTTGCTCTGCTTTTGACTTGGACGGGGGAAATAACCAGGTTATGATTTGTGACTTTCTTTAAGACGTGAAAAAAACCTCAGTGACTTACCACAAAAATAAAACACTTAAATTGATTGTATCACATATAACAGTGATGATCTAGGCCAGCAGGAAATAAGGCTTAGAAGTTCAACCAGTCCTCTTCCTTTTGAGTTTTAGTGCTGATTATGCAATATGTGGTGAGAAAAATTCGGTTGTGCCACCCACCTGACCCCAAATCAGGAAGTGTAGATTGGCAGACTTTTGACACCAGAAAACAACATAGTTCACCATGAGTTGGACAGTGGATCAGATAAAACTAAGATTTGTCTAAGTTATAAAAATGTTTTCTGCGCAACCAAAAAAGGCACTATAGTGCCTAATGAGCGTAAGATGTCAGACTTGCAGGGCTGGGTTAAAGTATTGTAACCTGGGCAACTTGCCTGACTGTGCCCCAGTTTTCTGTGGTACAAAATGGAAATAATGATGTCTACATTGGAGTGTTATTATGAAGACTAAATTGCACATGAAGCTGTTAGCACAGATGTTGAGACTAATAAACTTTTGAAACTAGCAGGTGTTGTGCATTTAGAGTGAGATAAACTTTAAGAGAAATTCCAAGTTTGGAGTGTTGCTTTAATAGTATTCCTTTACATGTATTCATCCAACCATTAAGGCCTTCTGATAATAAATTCTGGGCTGTTTTGCTGTTTGTACACCCTTTGCTTTTGCTTATCAAAGATAAAATAATGGCTGATTTCTAAATCGAAGTTTCTTAGGAAGCCTCCTTATTTATTTTAAAAATGTACTTATTTATTTAAAAGGCAGAGTGACACAAAGTAAGAGGGAGATTTCCAGTCTGGTGAGTTTGTGTCGCAAGTGCGACAGCCAGAGTTGAACTAAACTTAAGCCAGGAATCCCAGCGGGGTCTTCCGTGTAGGTGTCAAGAGCAAAAGTGTCATCTGTTCCCTCCCTGCACGTTAGTGGGAAGCTGAATCAGGAGCAAGGAATAAGGTATTCATACCTGGAATGTGGGTGTCCTAAATGTCAGCTTAACCCTCTGTCCCAGCTTAAATTTGTTGGAGGATTTACTCATTTGAAGGGCAGAGATAGAGATCTTTCAGCCACTGGTTCACTCCCTAAATGGCCAAGGTGGCTAGGCCTGGGCCAGGCCAAGCCAGGAGCTTTACCTGGTCACCTCGTAGGGTCCAAGCACTACGGCCATGTTCTGCTGCTTTCCCAGGTACTTTAGCAGGAAGCTGGACTGGAAGTGGAGCAGGTGGGACTCCAGCCATCACTGACATGGGATGCCTGTGTCACAGGAGGCAGTTTAACATACGCCACAATGCTGGCCCCCCGAATTAAGTTTTTAGAAACTTCTTCAAGGCTTATCTATTTCAAGTCAAGTGAGAAAAGAAAACCACTAAGAAACGTTATTTTATACAAACTTTTTAAAACGATTTTTTTTTTTATTGTAAAGTCAAATGTATGGAGAGGAGGAGAGACAGAGAGGAAGACCTTCTGTCCAATGATTCACTCCCCAAGTGGCCGCAAATGGCCAGAGCTGCACTGAACCGAAGTTTGGAGCCGGGAGCTCCTCCAGGTCTCCCACGCAGGCTTTGGGCTGTCTTCGACTGCTTTCCTAGGCCACAAGCAGGGAGCTGGATGGAAGCGGGGCTGCCGGAATTAGAACCAGTGCCCATATGGGATCCTGGCGCGTGCAAGGTGAGAACTTTAGCTGCTAGGCCACCACGCTGGGCCCGAAATGTTATTTTAGAAATCTAAATTTGTGATACTTAAATGATACATCTTTTTCAAAGCTGTACATTTTTCTAAAGAAACTAAGACAGTGTTCCTACTAGGTTTTCTTCTCTTGTTTGTCTTAATTACTGACGTTATTAATCTTCAGGTACTTGCAGCTAAGTTTTGTTATGAGAGTAGTTATCGATCATGTAGTGGAAGACCTATTGAAAGTAATCTTTATCTGCGCCCAGCGTTTTAGCCTAGTGGTTAAATCTTTGTCTTGTATTGGAAGTTCATTAGGAAGAATTTATCAGAAGGGCTTAATGGTTGTATGAATACCTGTAAAGGAATATTACTAAAGCAGCACTCCAAGCTTGGAATTTCTCTTAATGAAGTTTATGTCACTCTAAATTGGGCACTAGTGTGTCCTGGCTGCTCCACTTTTTTCCAGCTCCCTGCTTGTGGCCTGGGAAAACAGTGGAGTTTGGCCCAATGCCTTGGGACCCTGCACCTGCATGGGAGACCCGGAGGAACCTCCTGGCTTCAGATCGGCTCATCTCCAGCTGTTGCAGCCATTTGGGGAGTGAATCATTGAACGAAAGATCTTACTTTCTGTCTCTCATCCTCTCTGTATATCTGCCTTTCCAATAAAAGTAAATAAATTTATAAAAAATAAAAAATTTGCATCTTCCTTTCTGCTATCCAGTGTAAAATGGAGACTTGAAGGTAGTTAGTCAGCAGTAAGAATGTTGCCACCAAGGACCTTTTTAAACAAAAGCATTCCTCCGTGTTCTACCCATGATAAAAAGCTTAGAACATTGGGTTATTTTACTGATGAGTGCTCAGGATTTAGTTTTCATCTTTCACTGGCAGCAAGAGAATAAATTATCCCACTCCCATGAATAGCATGTACCTGTGTCCAGTGAGACTGGGTACCTTCCAGAGCTGTAATGGAAGAGAAGCAGATCTCTGGAACTGCGCTCTGATGGTCTAAGGGGTAAAACAATGCTAACACTTAGAAATGAAGCAAGTGAGATGTTTAAGGACAGCTCTGATGGCTGGGTTAATAGAACGAAGGATCAGAAGGGATCTGACTGGTTCAGACCCCAACTCTGCCTTTTAAACTAGCTGTATGTGTGATCTAAGAATCACATGACTTTCCAGACTTTGGACCCATTAACTGTAATATGGGGGGGGGGGGAGAGGACTGGACAAAGTAACACCTTTTCCAACTTTGATAGCAATTTAAAGAAAAGTTTTCATCAAGGAAAAAGTAATTGGAGCACCAAATAATTGGTGCTTCACAGCGGCAGATAAGGTGGGAAAGTTATTTTCTCTGGATAACAATTTAGTCAGGAAAGGGAAATTGTTTTTAAAGTGTTTAGTAAATGTTGTGTTTCAATGATTTTTGTAATGGGTGCATTTCATGACTCAAGAAAATCAGGATTTATACTACGCATGCACATCCACTGAAGTTTCCTTCAAAAAGAAAAATGTACTCTTTTAAGAATGTGTTTGCTATAGCCACTTTTAGAGTAGTATCATAGCAGTTCTTGGATATAGCGGCCTAAGTCAGTCATTGACTTTTGAGGTCTTGAAGTCTTTGAAAGCTGAGTCAGAGGACATGTTCTACAGTGGCTGCACTTCCTGGTGGTATTAGAGGGATCTATTTTACAAAGTAGTGTGGGACTAAGGGGAAGCAGATAGAACCATAGGCCAGATGAACTTGGGGTGCCAGTGTCCTCCTCCTGATGGGTTGCGTAAGAGGCAGCCTTGGGAGGAAAGAGGAAGCCACAGCACTCCTTTGGAGACAGATTAACTTGATCCTGGTGCCCTGCCTCCCTTTACTTGAGGTGGTAGGAAAATTAAAATCTGTTTATTTTTGCCCTACCATAAATAGCATAAGCTGAAGGTTGGTGTAGTTCTGTTAAATTTCCCTCCAAGTTTGAAGAATGTGGTGAAAGTGACAAAATAACAGTATATCCAACCTGCTACTTATTGTTCAAGCCCAACTAAACCTTTTCTTCCTTTCAGAGTAATGTCAGTGGTAAATCTGTTTCATCAGTTGCCCTTTTCCTTTTTGTAGTAGTGACTCGGTGCTCTGGCTAAGGTCCTAGAGCAACTGTTATTAGATAGTCCATTTTAAGTTATTAATGATGGCCGCTGTCTCCCCCATAACTTTTTGTTCTGTATCTGCTTGTTTTAGTTCTTAAAATTTTAGATCATATACTGATTTGGAAAGTATCATTCTGGTCAGCCAGCTCCAGACAGAATGCTTCATTCAATTCTTTCAACGAAAATATATTTATTATTTATTTGATTAAGCACTGAGTTTTCTGAACTCATAAAGTGAAATACCTGCATTTAAGAAACTCGCCCCTACAAACATGCTACAACCAGCATGGATTAATGACTTTGCTTTCTTGCAGCATACTGTCTGATTTTACCCTGAAATCTGTCCAGTGCTTCTTGGAGCTTAAAGTAAAGATAAAGATGATT